AATGACAGCACAAATACGCAAAAGTATAACCTCATTCTATGCTGTTTCACTGTATTCATGCGAATCTTATACTAGAACATTTATGAAGTAAGAACAGTACACTAACCTCATACTCCGAAAAACTTTTCACTCGGCAGAAATGGGAAATCTCAGTTCAATACCGACACCGACTACAGACGTCGATAGGCACTGACACGTGATGCTGGGTTTATAGATTCAATTAAACTAACAATTAGGAATTAACAATTAACAATCAACAATAACAATAACAATATCATGAAGGTGTTTATACATATCTGATAATAATTAAGAATTAGATGTGAAATGTCCTTTGTTTGTAGATCAATATGATGTTAATAAGTAATTTTGGTCTCCACAATTCATGAATCCATAAAAAATACTCCAATTGAATTACACCAAACTCCATTTGAACAATAACAAATCCCATCTTCATGTTCTGTCTCCAGAATTTCCTAATTCTTAGTTGTTAAGTTGAAAGTTGGCCAACTTTGTAATTCATAATTCTTAATTTAATTGACAGATGTAAATGTATAAACCCTCATAGATGTTTCCATGTATTCAACTTTTCAAGTTCATAGTTGTTAGTTTAATTCTTAGTTTAGTTGGATCTATAAACCCAGCATGAAGGCGTAGGTGCGTAACTTATGTCTCACAGATAAATAAGTTCGGAAATATGGTCAATCGGCATCTCTACCATTATGCCATGGCGGCATCTCTACCGGAATTACCCTATAGAAGTGAATTTTCTAATTATTTTGAATCTAGACTTCGTTGAATCCGTCGAGAATACAAAACAATAGAAATAATAACTCTGCTGCAGCGGGCAATATGGCGGCGGCAGGGGACGAATAAATAGGAAATTTGAGCGGTCGCTAATTGGGAGCGCGATTCGTTCGCTGAGGGAAAACACGGAAAAGCGCTTAACCGCGGGTTAGCAGCGCCCCCGCGGGAGCGTGGGAGGCTCCCACAGGGTAGGAGTCGAGCGGGATAATTGATGTTTAATCGAATCGTATATATATATGCCTATAACGATGCGCGCCGCGTGAATTTGATTATTTGAATTATTCATCGGGAATTCTGACGAATGTTTTAATGAACAGCAATAAGTGAGTATTGATAATTATTTCATCTCATGCAACTATTTCATTGATCATCTGAAAAGAAATGCTGCTAGATTCGTTATGTGAAACCTTGACACTGACGCCACAGTGTACACGGTTTTGCAAATATGATAGTTTCAGTTTCTCATCCCAACACCATTCCCATACCTATATGACGAGGTCTTTATTATAGTAAACATTTTTGAGTTGAGTTTAACTCCTGGTCCACACAACAAACTGTCATCGTTTTATTGCCATCCTTGGAATTATATTGATACAAAATGTATCAGAACTATGAAACATGTTCCAGAAATCATGTACACAATTTTGACTGTCGTTAAACAATGTGGATGTAATAGTTGTAATAGATATTGTTATATGCCTATGATCATGGTCAGAATTTCATGTTTTTTATCCCTTGACATTGACATTGACTATGTCAACGTTTTGCCCATGTCATTATTTGACATTATTTTCAGTGTTTTCTAACCAAATTAATTTAGATTTTAACACGTGCTGTCTGTTTGCTCCATCAATTTTATCGATATTTTCTTTGAGTTGCGCTTTCATAAGGGCCAGGGGGAACCCCTTTTTTGAGAAACCCGTTAATTTATGCTGTTGTCAAAAACAAAACTTTTTGGCAATACCCTTCATATTCCATTCTGGTATATGAAATCTTCAATGAAAACAATAGTATGCGCTCTCAGGGCACGGGGACCTTCATGTATTGAGAACCCTTTTTTTCATTGAACATTTGAATTCTTGGCTATGTGCATTGACAACAATTCAAGAAACATTAGCATCAAAAATTTGTTCAACTCCAAGTAAGTCAAGCACAAACTAGGTAATTCTTCCACTTCAAATATTATTTTGTTTTTGTATTGTAGACCTTTCAGTTAGGCTGAAGATGGTCTTCTATAAGACCGAAGCATGTCTCTTATGATTATGTAACAACATCATTGAAATTTGTGGAGATGACTTCAAGCATTCCTTCGTTCCTGTGAAATATTTCACTCCACTTTGAGCAATATGAACTTCTATCAAAGACTTATTTATTTATCAAAAGGAAGCAAATATATCCATTTCCACCCTATATATATATATGGATCATGACCATATCAAACTCTTACTAACCCTATTTGTCAATGTCATCTGTGCATTCTTTCTTCTTTCCTCCGCTTGATGGTTAATTTGCATTTGCATATAGAAAATTTCCATAGAGCAGAGCGGTGATTTCATGAAATACATAATCATGAATTTTGATGAGATTGTAGGAGTGAATTTTGGCTGTGAATTATTCGGCATAATTTCAATCAATCGAGAATACATTGGCTTTTAGAACTGGTAGCTCAATAATAATAATAAAATTGTTTGTCAGGTGCAATCATCAATTCCATATAACTCTGATTAGCCTGATTAAGTAAACCGTACTTTCCTGTTTCAAAATTGATGAAATGTTTTGAATTAATGTGCTGATCAGAGGTATATGGTCAATGATCACGAAAATGAACCAGGCACCATAACATTCGACATTTGAACAAAATGAGAATCGGAATTCACTTTCGACCTTTCAGGCCGGGCGCCCTGAAACATGGCACAGACGGTCTCATAGACCCATAGTCAAAAAAAAATACTTCTGAGATTTTCAGATACGAAATAATGATTCAATATCATAAAATAAGTCTTTATTCAAATGAAAAAGTGGTATTGAACGCATAATACGAATTTGAATCCAAATGGATTACACTTAAAAATTGTCATCAGAAACATCTTTTTCGTGTCTCAAGTAGGATTTCCTGTGAGGTGCTTCCAGTGAAATATCTCTTATTATCGCCTCTCTCTCACAGATGGTGGAATATTTGTTACAAAAGAACGTCGATAAAATTAACGAAACAGTGACGGGAGTCGGGGCGCTGGGTCTCACAGATTTTTTGATGAATAAGGGCTTCTCTCACTAATGAGGTGTAATATTATCACTTGCAACGCGTGTACTGAATAAGGAATAATGAAGCTACATAGAGCCCCCACTCACAAAAAAATTCTGCGCGAATCAGCCGTTGAACCAGTAGGGAAAAAGTGCTACCATGCACATAGAATTTTGTGAATTTGGTCTTCTGCAACTGTGTCTCGAATTTTTTGTCGTAGGATCAACTGTTGAAGAGTTATTTTCGAATAACAATTTTTTTGTACCTTCAATCTCCTCAAGGTCGCGCAGAATTGTTCAACAGAGCCCTGAACTAAACAATGTGATTGATAAAGCAAACGACTTACCTGAAGGAAGTTCGTCCTATATTATACGAGAATTGTATTTTCCCAGGCTGATAAACACAAGGATGTGCTACTACAGAGCGTTATTCAATCTATTTGGGAAGATACAATGCGAAAATCATAACTATATACCCTAGCTTCTGCAAGACGAAGGACTCTTCTAGTCCCTAATGACTATGGATTAAAGCAAGCACCTGCATCTATATTTTCCTTTCATATTATGAAGTACGTGAATTTCGATTATTCATCAGAAAATAAACAGATCTCCGTGGAGAAACCAGTTTATGATAATGAACTTAATGAACTAGTTTTGGTTAGTACTTCAAAATAATGAAATTGAATAAAATAACAAACGAGTGGAAATATTTGAACAACAAAAATGTTGTCACGTAGGGAAACTGCATCTATTGAAATTGTGAAGGGTTCAGAATATTTGTCGCATGGAAGCGACAAATCATTTTCGAAAAGAAGTTTTCTACGCATTCCGAATGAAATAGTCCTTCCTCGAATAATTGTAGTTAACGGCAACTTCTTAATACTTCCGTGAATCTATTCAATAAGTACTTGCTCGTTCTCTTAGCCAGCAGATAATTAGAATATCCAACTGGGCGTATAGAAGCTATCAACTTCAAAGCCAAGCAGATGTCATTGAGAGTTCCAGGATGAATTGCCAACCAAATGTTCGTTATGCACAATATGTTTTATCTGCAATAAGGCGGGTGTTTGTTTCGAATCGATCTTCACTCTAAACATATACAGCGTGTCTCACTTTGAACAGCTATTATAGTCGTGCGATTCGTACCGGTATATGATTAACCATCAATATGATTAGTTTTTCAAAGGCGAACATCCTTTTGGACAGTGCTGTGCGTTTTTATTGAAATAAAAAGGGGTCGATTTTTTATGAAATCATATAAAGCATTTTTTTAAGGGAAACTCACTCCATATAATTGTTTCCTATATATGTTTTCGAATCTCCATCATGCAGAAAATCACCTCGATTCGAATTAACAGGATTATAGCTATATTTTTTCCATTTCTAGTGAATTCAAACTAACTGTCTGCGAATTTTGGAATGTTTAATAACTTTGGTAGGTAAAAAATGATTCCTGTGAAAAAACCCTATCGATAGGAGAGAGGAAAGTAAATACATAGTAGTCCATCTAACGGCACCTGTGCCAATCACTATCCTGAGCAAAATGATTAGAACATTGCACTTTCCTGTGCGGACATTTGCACTCGATTTTGCGATTTGATAACGAGATGAGGTAGTTTTAGCCAGGAGTTAGGAATGGTTTCTCGTAGTTTTCATGTCATCGCAACGTCGGATAATGACTTGGACTACTGCTAAATGCTTTTACTATATATATATTATAACATTTGTGTCCCAACTAGGAACTTCATCCTGTATATTTGAGCGCTGCATCAAATCATGTGGTAATTGATGTCGTCTCCAAATTATAATTAGTTCAAATTTAACGAGGTCTAGAACCGCCCAACGTTAAAAATATCTCTCAACATGCTTTAATAGAAGATTAATCAAGATGCCTGTGTTATACTCCGAGCATGACCTGACTCATGTGGAAGTGCAGATGTGTAAAATGCAGCAAATTGTTCGTGTCGAGATTTATTATCAATTTCAGTAAATAAATATAAATATACATAATTCTGTACTATTTAAATAGTTCTATGATTAGAAACAATAAAATACCTCTGTTTATAAATTTCACGATGATATACAATTATTACAAATTAATTTTGATTTATACTATATCATACGCATATACCTACCATGTGTTATTCAAAAAAATCTAGAACTCTTGATGAATGCCGGAAAGCTAAGTGACATGATAATAATCAAGTTCCGTTGTGGGTAATTTCTCGATACTGTTGACCTTTGTTCGATTGACACTGAAAAATAAGGAATAATGTTGTAAAAATGTCTTCATCTGGAAAATAGAATGAGACTATAGTTCTTACTTGGTGTACACACTTCGTCATTGATCGGTATATCTTCTTTCAAAATTCCGTTGAATTTCTTTAGAGAACAGAACTCTTCGCATTTTGGCAGCTTCATCAATTTTGGTTCGCTAGTTTTATAATTCTGGTAAAAAATCTGAAAAGAAATATGTATAGGTGAATTCTGGGCTCGAGTGATGAGATGAACGTGAATGAATAATCATTAATCGAGCTATTTTCACATTGGCGCACCCAGAGGGGGGATACAGGGGCACGCCTCCTCCCAAATTTCAAGAAAATAATAATTCGACTCATTTTTACTACTCTCTCGTCCATCATCCTTTTTCAATCATCAAGTTTGCTATCATTATAGCATTTTGTCATGACTCTGAATTTACCATGGCCTTGACTTAAAAAAAACGCCTGCGGTGCTTATTTATTTCCGTGTGCTCCCCCCATAATATGATTCCCGGTGTGCCTCTATATTTTCACCTTGAAACCAAATCCATTGTCAATACGATGCAATTCAAAGAGAATATAAGATCCATATGGTGGAACGGACTTGTAATCTTCGCATATATCCAATACTCTAAGCAGGGAAGCAATGTTGAATTCGTGTCCACACAAAATGGACATTTTTTTCATAGGCAGTCTGCCGTTTATCTTGTCATCGGTGTCATCTAGAATTTTCTTCAACAGAAATCCTGAAATCAAAAAGTGAAGAGAATGACAAATGATAGATGACATCTATATGCTTCGATTTATATACACTACCTGCCGACATCTGCCTTAAAATTGGAGTAGCTACCAGATAATAATAGTTAATTGCTATAATATCCTTCATCTTGTCAGGATAAATAGATTTACTCCACTCTGGTAATGGTTGATTGAAACTCTCCTAAAATCATCAACACACGTCAATGTGACATTTGAACTTGTTTTTAAAAGTGACATCATCAGTGGGTTCAAACTTGAACGATGGCAATTTGTTATTTCAATAGATTCGTGATCGGGTTTTCTCGATTCAGAATTTTCTTTCCACGCCCTGTTTGATGAATATTTATTTGTCATACATCTAAACAAATATAATTGGCTGGTTTAAGAATTTGAATTTTTGGGGTATATTCAATCGTGTTTTCCTAATTGCTTTAATTGATTGGATTCAAAAATTGATTATTTGATGTATTTTCAATCGTTTTTTCCAAATTGCTTCCCTCCAAAGATATACCTATGTTAGTCAATGTCAATGCGTATATCGTAGAGGTGTACAATATACATATAGGTCAAAATACTATGAGATGAGAAGGCGAAGTCTCGATCTTTCATGACCCAAAATTATCGTATCGAATATGTTCATCATACGGGGTGTCCCGAAATTAGCCTGATAAACTTCACCAGCGGCTTCTACGACCAAAAATAGGAAGAAAAGTTTCAACAACAACCTATTTCTGAATAGAGGTGTAGATTTTCATAATCCGAGATTAAATTGTTGAAAATTATGCATACAGAAAATTTTGACCAATATTTAATTTAGTCACAACCTGTATTATACACTCCTGAGTGAAATTTTGAAATGATTTTATTTTCACTGCATTGGGCATGGAAAGTTTAGTTCTTGCACCTCCTGTATATAGTACATAGGTTGGAATAATGAACTATTTTTTTAGTGAGGAATTTTCAATCTTACCAGTATTTGGAATCCACGATATAATGAACATATATCTCGCAGTTTGCTATAAGTTTTTCCTGTTTTATTGGTTAAAAATTTAGAGATACTTTTGTAATCCTTAATGAGAGCGTTTCGCCCTTTCTCACTTTGTTCAAAGTCATGGGCGTTAGGTTTCCATGAGGGGCAGCCAAAACAAAACAACTCCTTGAAATACCGAAAGATTTAAAGGACATTATTGGTATGCAATTTCAAGACATTATGGGTCGCGTGCACGATGACCGACCCTGAAGGCAAAATATTGAAACACAACCTCACTCTTCTGTGAATTATTGAAACACAACCTCACTTTTTTATTTGTTTACAGAGGAATCGAAAGATTGAAATAGTTTTTCACAATATTTTGGCATACGAATCGTGTTTCTTTTCTATTCATTAATTCAAGCATGCCTTCGCATTGTGCTGTTGTACAATGCACAAAAAATGCAGCAAGATACTAGGGAATATGAGTTTTCAGGTAAATAGTAATCCCACATAGTTATCATTATGAAATGTTGTCATTCCTTATTAAATCTGCCTTCTGCCACTTCTGCAATACAAGCTAATACTGCTATTAGATTGAAAATGTCTACAACACACACGATCTTCAGCATGTCAGACTAGTCCTCCCGATTGATTACATGAATCCAATCTTCTTGCATTATTTTAGAAATTTCAGGTATATTTCTATAAGCTTCTATTGCAGAAGGAATTCCGATGAGAAATCAGATAAATAACCAAATTTCAGAAATGAAAACTATATGTGAGTGACTATAGTAGGTACTTACTTTTAAATCATAATGTACCATCTGGATTCCTTCATCTTCTGCTGCAGTTTTTGTGCATTTTACAACAGCACAATGTGATGGCATGAGCGAATTGATGAATAGCGGAAAAATACGATTCGTATGCCAAAATAATTGTGGAAAACTATTTCGATCACTTGTAAACAGATAAGAAAAGTGAGGTTGTGTTTCAATGTTGTACCTCCAGCGTCGGTCATCTGACAGTTCTTGCACGCAACCCATAAGTCTTTTAAGAGGTTATAATTCATGTATTCACTGTCAACTCTCAACTGTTTTTTTTTCTATCATACAATAATTTTCTGGGTTTTACCTTGTCAGATTTTCTCTCTAGATAAGTTGTTGCGATGGGTTGCCAATTCATTCCTTCCAACCAAACCAATTCTTTAGTGGGCGGAAAGAGACCTGCCAAGATGGCTTGCAGCGAGGCTTTGGTTCTGTTGAAATCGCTACTTCTGGCATCTATCAATTTTATATTATACGTTTCATCTAGAAAACCTTTGTATCGCTTCCTCAATTCTTGTCCAACTTTGAATGCTGTCAACTTGCCTTTCTGAAAAACATACACTGATTCATGGTTGAGTCCAAGAATAGGTCCTTGTGGTACCTCTAAATGATACCAATATTTGGTATACTCACGTTTGTTAGTTGTCCGAATCCATATGGCATGAAGAACGATTCGTTGTTATATTTACTTGCTGGGTAGAGGCTGCTCTTTTCCGGAGTTCGATCTCCATGTCTAACGAGCTAAAGAAATAAGCAGAAACACAAGCGACAGTAAATTTGCGAGGGTTTTTTTTCGAAAATAGTTTTGGTACTTACGTATTTTTGTTTCAAAAACACGAATTTGACAATGATATTTCACAAAGAAGTTCTAAATTTCACCTCTTTTTTCGCTTGTCTTAAAACTATATTAGCCCTTCTTTTTTCGTCATTGGACAATTTATTAATCACGATGAACTTCGATGACAAATTTTCTATATGGAAATCGACTAGAAATATGATTTTTTTGCGATTTTTCCATATTTACAACAAGCCAACAAGAAAAATCATCACACCAGCTGACGAGGACGGCCATTCGTCCTTCTGCCTTTCTGCCATCTGCCATTCAAGGACATGTCAAATAAAGAATTCACTTCCACCGTGAGTATGTAAATGAGAAATTAGTTGTTTTCCTAACAAGTGCGAAAAGTGATATTTTCCCGCACGCGAATGCCGTTGATCCGAACGACGCGAAGCGGAGTTAGTCAATGGCGAATTTTGATATTTTTGATTTTTCGATTCACCCTATATCAAAATCTAAGTTGATACAATCAGTGGAGTAGTTATTCAATTGAGGAACACATCGAATACATAGGAACGAAGTTTCATCGCTATAATTACTACAGGAAGATCTCTCTAGGTCAACCAATATTTAATGAAATTGTAATCGAAGTTTTTTATTATGATCCATAACTTTTTTCTAGATAATATAGATAATGGTGACTAATTTGGAGAAATATTTTCAATACATACAAATTCTCATTGTCATCTCAAATTTTCATTCCATTTCGCCAAAATTGGTGTATTATTATGATCACATTAAACATCAGTATATCTCCTAGCAGTCTTTAGAGAGTATTTGTCTGTCATTTTATTTGTGTTATATTCGACAGCTCTTTATCGAACAAGACAATTTTCACAGTGACTGTTTGGGTAGAGTGTGAAATACAGTTAACATGAGTTTTCAGAATGATGAATCTCAACTTTAGCAGAGATTATACAGTGTATAATCTCTGACTTTAGTTTTATTGATTTTTGGTTGATCTAGAGAGATCTTCCTGTAGAAGTTACAGAGATGAAACTTCCTACCTATGTATTCGATGTATTCCTCTATCGAATAACTACTTCACTGGTTACATCAACTCCTCAGATTTCGATACAGGGTGAATCGAAAAATCAAAACTATCAAAATTTGCCATTGAATAACTAACACCCTATATGAGATTTTGCGTTCAAATTTCGTATGGAGGTATTTCAGTTATGCTTGAATCGAATAGGAAAGTCACTGTATCTAAAAAACAATTGCCTGATAGTGGTTTTCTCAAAAACTCACAAAAAAATCATATTTCTTGTTGATTTTCCTTGTAATATGTGTTATTTAACTACTTCATGAGTATAAAAAGTGTTTATAATGTCAAAGAGATGTATATGCGTAATTAGAACTTTTTCGTGAAATATCTTGATAAATACTGGTTTGTTCACATATCCATCAATAAATTCGTGTTTTTGAGACAAAAATACGTGAGTACAAAACAAAAAGTTCGAAAAAAAAAATCCATCGCATGATGAGTGCAAAATTATCTAAGCGATTATAATAACAGGTAGGTACAAACAAATCATCCGGATGCAGCTCCGGTGTTGTTCTCTTCCTGCAGCAAATAAATGAGAGGGCAGATATACATAATCTCATTTCTTATTGCATTTGATCTGAATTGTTTTTTTACAGAAGTCGAACGCCAGCTTTTCAACTCAAAATGACCTGAAACTGGGGCTGCATCCTTCTTGCATCAGCAAACTTCTCAATTATGAAACAGTTTTCTCTCATATATCATACATTTTTATCGCATATTTGGAGATTTACTTACTGCATGTACGAACACTAAACTGTCTTCAACTGCTTCAATTTCAGAACATAAAAATAAAAAAATAAGGATGACACTGAAACTATTCATACAGAATAGAAGCACTATCAAAACTATATGAAATTTTTTTATTTAATATTCAACGTACACTGTCGAAAATGTCACAACAGACAGATCGTTATTATGCCATTTCCAATAAACTTCAAGAGTGTTCAAGAGATCCCGCTGATGCAGATTAGGATCCCTTGGTGCCCTTGATGGAAATTGACATTAAAGTCATTTCACAATTCATATGTTCCCTACCTTGCAAAGATTATGCTGGAGTAGTAAACTCTAAAACTAGAGGATTGTTCATCTATATCTTGGTATAGTTGGATCAGGAATTCCATATGGAAATTACGTATGATACGCCAGTGACCTCAATATAACCTAAAAAACAACGAATGTCAAAAATCTAGTGTTTATCCCCAGAATTGAATAAGGATGGAACTATATAACTGTTTCACAAACACTTTAGAGTGATAGGATACGAGGATCTGTCCGTACCCTGTTAAGATGACTTTAACGTCAATTTCCATTAAGGGACCCTAGTATTCACTAGTTATAGAATATATTCTCGAATATTATCAGAAGTAAGTAGGTGACAAGTACTACCAAAATCCAATTAGTATCTCCTATCTCTTCCTCAGTTCTTGTCCGTGACTTTGTACGTAGTCAGCTTGCCTTTCTGAAACACGATAGCTGATTTATAGTGGTTGTGGTGCAGATGAGGCCGAGAATGGGTCCTTGTGTCACCTCTGAATCTGATTAATATTCTCAACTCACGTTTGTTAGTTATCCGAATCCGTATATGGTTTATATAGTACGATTCGTTGAAATACTGTTTTTCCCTGGAGTTCGATCTACATGTCTGAAGGGCTGAATGAAAATACTCTGAATTTAAATGATTTTGAGATGATGAGTTTAATATTTTCGTGATAGCTTTATAATTATTTATAGAAATATGGGCTAGTAGCTGTATCTCGCATACATAAGGATGTATACAAAATATAAAAGGTGGAATTTTGAACCTTCTAGTGAAATATTCCAATGGTTTATTCACATTTTTATTATTAACCTCGTGTTCCTCAGAAAAAAATAAATCTGGTAGAAATACCCATCGCATGTAAATTCACGATTTCTTACTCGTGTGTACAAGCACCATACTATTTTCAACTGCTTCAATTTCAAGATATAGAAACATTAACAAAAGACAACTTAATCGTTTCATCTTATTCTTCTCGACAAACTCCATATATCAGTATAAATTTCGATGTATATATATCTAATGAAATAGGAAGTCTTATCTGGTGAGTTCTATATTACGATATTAATTTTTCCAAATTGTGAAACGTTTGTACAATAAATGAATATAATAATCAACATTTTTCATTTGCCAAATTCGATAAAGGTAGAACTGTTGAAGATGACTATGGAAGAAACTACAAATATAATTATACTTTGAAGTGGTAAATTTCCAGACGCTGCTGACTCTGAAAGAGTGAAACGAATATACATATTATGTGATGGTTAAAACCGAACAACTATTTACTTGGTCTGCAAACTTCATCGCTGACCGGAATATCTTTCTCTACTATTTGCTTGAACTTCTCCAGGGGACAGAATTCTTGGCATTCCGGAAGTTTCATCAGTTTTGGTTCTGCTGTTTTATAATTTTGATAAAAAATCTGAAAAATCAATTAGTTTCAGCATCTATGAACCATCAAAATTCAACTCATGTTCACCTTAATACCATATTGAGAGTCTTTGCGATGCAATTCAAAGAGAATATAACCCCCGTATGGGGGAAGAGAATTGTATCCTTCGTTGATATCTAAAACTCTAAGAAGAGCAGCTATGTTGTTTTCATGACCACAAATAATTGACATCTTTTTCACGGGAAATTTGTCACTAATCTTGTCATCGATGTCTTCAAGAATTTCCTTCAAGAGATACCCTAGAATCAAGTACTAAGGTGAATTATGCAGAAAAAAAAACTATTCGTGACATAATATGAACATTATTTGATGTCCTTTTGATTTCAAAACAAATTATCTCGAGAGTCTATAGTAAGTTATCAAATGATGAAGTCGGGTCGAGCTCAAAATTGAAATTGATCTATACGTACTACTATCACAAATTTTTAGAAATTTTCGTTAAAACGTCATCTTATATGAACAGATACAATACCAGCAGCCATCTGCCTCAAAATTGGAGTAGATGTCATATAATCATAGTGGATTCCTAACATATTCGCCATCTTCTCTGGGTAAACCGATTTACTCCACTCTGGCAAAGTTTCATTCAAACTCTCCTTACAAAAAAAAAAACAGTTTGAAATAATCATCATGCTAGTTTAGTATCCTTATACTTACTAGTATTGCGAATCCGAAATATAAGAAATATACATCGAGCACCTGCCTGTAGGTTTTTCCAGTTTTGTTGGTGATATATTCGAAAATATTTTCGTTGCCTTTTAAAAGTGCTCGCCCTTGGGCACTATATTGAAAATCATCATAATTTGGATCCCACGCAGGACAGCCGAAGCAAAACAACTCCTATAAATCATACCTAATACTATTATATGGGTTAGGAAAATGTATGGAAACCCATTTCTGTCGTTTCCGAGATTCAGTGGTTTCCATAGTTTTTTTCCGAAAATACTGGTGTCACATTATGAAGATGAACCCTGCTATGAGCATTTATGTATGTATATATAATTTTAAGAACTAATCTGGAAATTATGATTTTGAAGGAGAAAAATTGTTGTTTTGTGGCAACAATTATGATTTTGATCGACATACAGGGTGGGTCATGAGGAAATGTACATACTCCAAACACGAATAGAGGCACTTGAGGGAAAAACCTAATGACCATCAGAAAGTGTCTTCGCCTCTTCTGCACTAATATATAGGGTGAATTATGGGGATTTGGCGAAACCATATTTTGGTCATAACTTTCCAACAGTTTTTCCGATTTGTCTGATTTTCGCATGGGATATCCTGCTACTTATCTCTAATCGACTGACTTATTTAGAATCAGGAAAATTTTCATGAAAAAGTTCATCCTGTATATGGTTTTTGTAAACTGTGACAAGGAAAATTCATTTTACAGAGTAATTCACTGCGTTAGTAAAGTGTCACTGTTTGGAATGCTGAAATATCGTCTTCATGCATGCACGCAGTTCTTCAGCATTTTGGTGATCTCGACGATATACAGTCTGTCCAAGAGGCTCATATCAAGAGCCTCCGCAAATTTTAAAAATTATTTTTAGTTTTTCAGTTACATCGAAAAAAGTGAATTTTTGGAATATCTATTTTATTTTTTTTCTCCGTTATCATTAGAGATACAGCAAAACTGAGAAACCTTTTTTATAGCAACTTTTGATGACGTTCAACGTGGTGATACCGATTTTTTATGCGACGTTTCGTATTCGTGGAACCATCATCAACTTTTGTTTTTTAAATACGGTACATTTAATTTTTTCACAGATTCTGAAAGGTTTTTTTATTCTGAATTCAACCATGTACTATATAAGGATTATAATAACGGAGAAAAAAAAAAAAAAATAGAAATTTCAAAAATTCACTCAAAAACTAAAAATAATTTTTAAAAATTTCGAAGGCTCTTAATATGAGGCCCTCCTAGTCCTCGAGTGTATCATTGGCATCTCTCTCAAAGTTGCGAATTTATGAATCCAAACTCGATGATTATTGCGGAAGATACGGAGGTGTAACCATGACACATGTTCCATAAGAAAAAATATAATTGGCTGCCGTATCTTCTCAATATAACCCTGTATAAAATTTTCAAAATTCCAATGGATTGTTCGCATCATACTATGTATATGAATGAACTTCCGAAAATTTTCTTCAATATTTCCTACTATGAAGTACTCAGAAAATAAAAAAGAAATCGTCAATTTTTCAATTTCCCTTGTATCTCTGAAACGAATGAAGATATCAATTTGGTTTTCCCTGAAATCGAACCCGGAACATGTATATCGGTTTTTCGTTATTGAGATAGCCCGTGAAAACGACAAACTTTGCTCACCCTGTACAGTTTCTCATGACTAACCCTGTAAAATTCTTCGTTAGTGTTGCTCAATCTGCTGAAGTTTATTTTTCTGTTCACTCTTTTATATCAAAATGCAAATGTCTTTTTACATCCGTCATCTAGTAACGTCATATTAATTTCTGAGTTTTACCTTATCAGATGTCCTCTCTACATAAGTTGTAGCAATGGGTTGCCAATTCATGCCTTCCAACCAAACCAATTCTTCAGTAGGTGGAAACAAACCTGCCAACATGACTTGCAGCGAGGCTTTCGTTCTATTGAAATCACTACTCCTGGCATCTATCAATTTTATATTATACGTTTCATCTAGAAAACCTTTGTATCGCTCCCTCAATTCTTGTCCAACTTTGAATGCTGTCAGCTTGCCTTTCTGAAAGACATAAACTGATTCATGGTTGAGTCCAAGAATAGGTCCTTGTGGTACCTCTAAATGATACCGATATTTGGTATACTCACGTTTGTTAGTTGTCCGAATCCATATGGCATGAAGAACGATTCGTTATAATACTGGCTGGTTGGGTAAAGGTTGTTGGTTTCTGGAGTTCGATCTCCATGCCGAAAGATCTGGAAAAATATATTTCATAATACCATAATACAGGGTGACATTGAGATAAATACAATAGCACCAATAAAAAATAGGGATCAAAATGAAATTTGGGATGCGACCCCCATTTCCACCCAAATTTCTACATTAAACCAATTCTAACGTCATCTCAGTTCAAAGGACCCCGCACTAAACTATAGGGAAAATGGCTCTCGATGAAAATCGCTGAATTTTTGGTATGTTGCATACATTGGCATACTAAACAGATATTCCATTGAACTAACCCTCAAAAATGGACAGTTTTTCCGATATGTACCTCCTAATGTAATTTTTTCGAGAAAAAAAGAATCTGAAAATGGTTGAATTTTTGGCATGTTGTACATAGGAATGAACTGTTGAAAAAATTCAATTGACCTAACCTCCAAAAATTGACAGTTGTCTGGATAATGACCTCCAAATGTAATTTTTACAAGAAAAAAATCTCTGAAAATAGCTGAATTTTTGGTATTTTGTAGATAGGAATGAACTGATGAAAATATATAATTGACCTAACCTCAGAAAATTGACAATGCCATTGACTCCGGAAATACTATAACCATCTTTGAAATGATATATTTTATTACATCCTCTCTTCGACTTTCTTCACCTGTGGATGTATTATATGAAGAAGATCTGTCTTTAGAAGAATGAAATGCCAAATACTAATTCGAAAACAGCAACTTTGTCTATTGATTATTGTTCCATTCATCTTATTTTCCATACGTACATTTGGGGGTCAATATAAAAAAACTGTCCATTTTTTGAGGTTAGTTCAATGGAATATCTGTTCAGTGTATCAAAGTCTGCAACATATCAAAAATTGAGCGATTATCATCGACAGCCATTTTCCCTATAGTTTCTCGTACATTATGAGAAGAAATTATGGTAATATTCGTTAGCATGTGAATATATAAATTAATGTTCAAAATCAGTTGAATAAAACTATTAGATATCCTAATCCAAGAAATCAATCGAGTTTGCCTTGATTCTCATAAGTCTCATTAGAAATTATTTCTTCTCGAAATAAAACAAAGATTACACATCATCTACATGTCTATACAGGGTGTTCATTTCAGGACTTCCCACCCTAATTTTCTCGAAATGTGTGTATGTTTTTGAAAAATCCCGAGACACGTCAACTACATTTTCGAGGGGGACATGGTTCTAAAATATTTTCAGCCCCGCGGCGTTGCCGCTTCTAACGAAAAGAAGCAACAACTTTGTTATTTCAAATGGAACACCCTGTATTTTATTGCATTTTTAGATTCTCCCTGGAAAGCTGATTTCATCAATGCATCACACTTGGGGTCTAGCAGGAATGATTACAGAGATATAGGGTGTTCAAAATCGAGATTTTACAACTTTAGGATTTTTTTGAGTCGAAACTATTCATTATTGGTCAAAACGGCTTCTATGTCCCTATCTCAACTTTCGATTCACTATCTACTGACATTTATTTGAAACAAATACAGGGTGGTTCAAGATTCAGACTTTTGATCACCCTGTATTTGTTTCAAATAAATTACAGTAGATAGTAAATCAAAAGTTGAGATAGGGACATGGAAGCCGTTTTGACCAATAATGAATAGTTCCGACTCAAAAAAATCCTGAAGTTGTAAAATCTCGATTTTGAACACCCTATATCTCTGTAATCATTCCTGCTAGACCCCAAGTGTGATACATTGATGAAATCAGCTTTCCAGGGAGAATCTAAGAATGCAATAAAATACAGGGAGTTCCATTTGAAATAACAAGGTTGTTGCTTCTTTTCGTTAGAAGCGGCAACGCGGGGCTGAAAATATTTTAGAACCATGTCCCCCTCGAAAATGTAGTTGACGTGTTTCGGGATTTTTCAAAAACATACACACATTTCGAGAAAATTAGGGTGGGAAGTCCTGAAATGAACACCCTGTATATGTATGTATATGTATATGAACGTAACCTTATCAACAGCCTATAATAGAAATGCTTCATTCCAATATCAATAATATTATTGATTATACTTTATCAGTTTTCATTGATTACTTACTGTGTATACAAACACTAAACTATCTTCAACTGCTTCATTTATTCCAATACATGAGGACAAAATCAAGAGGACAACTACACTTTTCATTATTTCTTCGGATACACAATTCGTCAGTATTTACAGAGATTTCGTATCTCTCATTAAACGAGTAGAAGCCGATACTTTCTCACCTACTATTCACAGTTGAAACTGAGTATGCCATTTTGAGATAATATTTCAACCACCGACATTAAACTAAGACTAGATGAATTAACAATGTTAACAATTGGTCATTATCTCCTATGACCCGATGACTTGAACTGATTTAAAAGCCGCTATGATTCCCGAACCTCTGATGTTAAAAATATAACTTTGATGATGTGCTTATTTGCAATGATATAAATATAAAAATTATAGACACTCATTTGTAAGAGTATAAGTAGAATATTAGTCCTGTGATACGCAGTAGCGGAGAGATATTTTTCTCAATCAGAATGTTCAACAATTTTTCTCCAGTTATACGGAACTATATTGATTCAATTGATCCCTTGGTGAATATCACATTCTTCAGAACCATGGTGTATATACAGGGTAATTCATGAGGACACTCACATATAGCCAAATGATGAATAGGGAAAATCAAGGCAAGATGATGTATACAAACGAAGAATTTGTTTGGCTATCCATAGCGGAGATAGAGTACTTATTATGTGAAATCGCAATATAACTTTGATGACCGATATTTCAGAAATGATTTGTCGTAGGTAATTGGCTGAAATCTGGCAGCGGCATTTCTATATTAAAATCATTTTAGAACAACAACAATTTGAGGTGGCATACTATTTTTAAAATGTCAAAAAAGTTCACTTTGTGATCACTTTTCTCGAAAAATCAAATTCAGAAAAATCAAACAAAAGGGCAGGAGAACACACTTTGACTGGTTCAATAAAAAAATATGAAACAAAATCGTTCGATTGAATTTTCAATTTCAACTGGATTTATGTAAATTGATACTTTGTACATTTTTGTTGAATAGAAATTGACAGAAGGGAGTAGTTCGAATGCGTTGAACATGACGAAAATTCAAATGCTGCAATGTTTAAGACGAAAATTCAAATTCTGCAATGTTTAATACCATAGAAGATTTCCAGACCCAAGAATACGTAGTAATAAAACCTTATTTACAAGGGTGAACATTAGGAATATTGAAGAAATAGCGAATTCATCCTTATATCACTTGCTGAAGTGTATCAAGAACAAACAATGAAGTTCAGCATAACTAATTTGATTAATCACCAAATGGGCACATGATAATCCTCATGCCGTGATTTTATCAGTTGGTACCTACCCATCAGTTCGAATTATCAACGGTCATATCACACCATGAAAACAGGGCCTAGGTACTAGATAATTCATTATTTCTTCTATTAAAATCCATGAAACAAAGTCACGAATAATTTCTATCTAGAATTTCGATAAAAAAATAACATGATTCTTTTTCTCAACTACTCTTCTGTCAATTTTTTTTTCATTCAACAGCAATGTACAAAAACTCAATTTACATGAACCCAGTTGAAAGTTGAGAGTTATCAGCTAAGTCGAAATTGAAAATTCATTCCAACGATTTTGTTTCATATTTTTTCATTGAACCAGTCAAAGTGCCAGCACCATTTTCAAGATAAATCGATTTCAAAAGTCTGCTGCTGCGTAACAAAAATAGTGATTTTTCTATATAAAAGTGTACCAAATTTTCCTTTCAATTATTCTACTTCAGAAAATACCCTTTAATTAACGTCCACTTGTGATGTTTGACTCAGAAAATGAGAGGAACAATGAAAAGAAAAATTTGAATAATATTATGAGTATTGAGAAAAAGTATACTATTTTTATTACGCAGCATAAATCGGTTCATCTCGAAAACGGTGAGTGCTATTGAAACTATACAAAATTATCATTTTCAGGTGAGAATTATGATATTTTCATATTTCCTGGTCAAACTGTCGAGAATTGCATAGAAAAAATAGTTGGAGGAAGAAATGCCCCGTAGCCCCACCTATTTTTCACGCCCCTGATCAAAATTTCAGAAAATTTTCAACATTTCCAAATCGGGCATGAGAACTAATATAGGTAGTAATGTAGGTATGTACATGTAGAAGATTTCGTTATCGGGCTCTCTTTCAGATGGCTATAACTCCCCACGGGGCCATTTCTGAGCTCATGTTCACATCATATTTACATGAACTCTATTTACTATTTTTGTTCCTAGAATCTGTGGTTGAAATCTTTCCATGTAATTTTGGGACATCCATATGTTTGGGTATTGCTTTTGTTCGTACCGCTACTGAACTTGAGAACACAGATAACAAATAAAAAATAAAATCTTATCTTGTTGGTGATTAAAATAAGCATTTTTGATAAAATTCGAAATAAACACTGATTGGGACAAGTTATCTGGCAAAATGTACGTATAATGACTTCGTTGCTCTGCTCTATTCAATGCCAGATAGTATAATTTGACATTTGTATTTTATAGCATTTTTGTACGTATTTTGTGGATCTGGACATGTACACTGCGACCGAAAGAACATATGTTGTGTTCCCTTCTTCTGCTCTACCCGATGAGATAGTTATCCGTAACTATAGCATTTTCTCTAAGTCTATTCGCGGTAGAAAATAACAAGTCGCTCCACCTCACGGCAGCAGCTTGAACACTTCTGAGCTGTTTGTTTTGATGATGTGACCAATAAGAACAGACTAAAAACAAATGCGAACCAATAAAAACAATGTAAACAGGACGCTTTGACAGCTTTCATTATTTTCTATCGCGAATAGTAGTACTATATCCCTCAGAAACGGGGTTGTTCCAGGTTGAGAGAAGCTTTTCCTCCTCCTCCTGTATTATGTGTGCTCCTAGATGTCTTGCCCTTGAATTCTGTAGGGCAACCGGCAATGTCCTGTTAGTACTTCCGTTACTATATGAAGTTTATGTTTGCTGAGGTAGACCTAATGTGCGTTCTTTTTTTGTGGTTGTATGCACCCTGTTTCTCTGTCTGAGACATTGCAGATCATTTCAGATGTCTAATCTCTGTTCAGCCTCTTGTATCCTAATCTCATCTGATACAGTACTGCTGCTGATCATGCAGAAGGATCCCGAGGAGTGTGTTTCAGCTCCTTTCCTAGCGAGTTTGTTCGCTACTTCATCTCCTTCTACTCCGGAACCCATAGAAGGGCGATTGTATTGAGGTTAGATAGTTTCTTTCAGTTTTTCCTGGCATTCCCAAATTATTTCGGAGCTGATGACTAACCATAGAGATCAGCGCTTCAATGGCTCTTTTGTTTTTATCGGAGGTGGTTGAAATTCTTTATGGAAATCACGAAGAACCAATTCCTTTCACGGTAGTGTGGGAATCCCTATATGTAGATGTACACCACCTCCTTCCAAGGTTCGCTTGACCGAAGTCTCCGATGACACTCATATAGGCCTAATGACCCATTGTATCTTACCTCGACTATGCCGTTATTGATTTTACCATCACAGTAACTGTAAGCACTCCCGTGCACAGTATCAGATGTTCGTTCAGGTTCCTGAAGATTACTCTTCCAAGCCCTGATATGCCTGATCTAATCCATGGAGAAGCCAGAGTTTTCCTTCTCGCACAAGTGGTGGAGGAAGAGTTTGGTCTAGCCCTGTGGTGCCCCCTGCACAGTTCTGAGGTCTCGTTATCGACACCATATAACCTACTTAGCCACGGGTTCCCACAACTTGGATTAGGTTGTCAGAGCTTCGTTTATCGTGACCACATATGCAGGAGTTCATAAACTGCCCCATCTTTGCACACAGATGTCCATACAGAACTGTACCATCTGAGTGATCCGAACAATGATGTTTCTAAATTGCTTCATCTGCCAAGCAGCCACAGCTTGTCTTCCTCGCACCCTGGTGAGGTTGGGCTTTAGGGGAGAAGGAAAAAAGAAGAATTGACCAAGAGAGGCCGATAGCAAAGATTGAAACCTGGAGAGTAAAAAGGATAACATCGACAAAATGATACCTCGGGTTCGCCATTTCTGTACTCACATGTCATGACCCCTGAGGGAGCTTCAATGGATGCTTGACTCGGACATGATAAATGATATCTTGTCTTTCATAGCTTTTTCCTAAATTGAACTGAACACATTTCCGACAGGAATATTATAATGGGAATTTGCCAAAGCTTGCGAAGTACTTGGTACCAGACCCTTCGACTCCTATTTCAGTTCCAGTTTCTCTGAATCATACTCCATTTTTCGATATTTGAAAATTGTATCTTTGTGGAAAAGAACATTACTTCTTGTTTCTTTGAAAAATCACAAGCAAATACAAGTAAAGTCTGAAGCTGAGTCGCAATACAGTTATTGAAAGGGTTTTGCGAACAATTCAAAATTTAACAAAAAATCTTCACCGATCACCAAACTTTCGAAAAAGGCAGATTTCAGGCTATTGGAGTCAGAATCAATATTTCTTCCTCAACTTAATCGTCATTCCGATTTGGTCGGTAATGGAGGCCAAACATCCTGAATTTTTAATGTTATTTCTCCTTCCGCCTGGACGAAAACTGTCAGATGTGCATTTCCGAACGCGTTCATGAAGTAATAGCGTATAATTATGGTAATTCTACATGCAAATCGATGGTGCGTTCGAGTTTACAATTGTCGGGTTTCGATAAGGGGTGTACACTCTGACGCAGAGGCGCAACATTGAAGCGGATTTTTCGGGCACCTGACCTTAATCCCATCAAAGTTTGTTCAGGTTGACAATTTTGGAACGAGCAGCATTCGAAATTTCTTCAACTGATGGGAACATGAAAATTTGGCGAAACATGCCAAAACACGCACAAAAAAGTTATGACTTTTCAGAAGACTCAAAAGACATGTAGGTGGCGCCTCTCCCGCACGAAAGAGACAAACTAACATAACATTTGATATTCTCATTGAAAAATACCCCTAGATACCAAACCTTATTCGAATATCACAATTATTTTGAAATTTAATAGCAAAAAACAGAAACCAGAATTGAACTTTGACACTCTGTTTCTCAGAAACGAATAACTTTAGAACTTAAGAAACACCCTGTATATTATGATCACTGGATATATCATATGATTAATTCAGTTGTTCTAATAACATGAGAAAAATACAGAATGTTGATTCTAATGTCATGTCAGTTCGATATTATACTGAAATAACGCATTTCAAACACTATATACCTCCAGAAA